TCCATCTGCTTTCAGTCTATGGAGATTCTCAGTCATCCAGGTCATGGTTGTCCCAAGGCTTCAAGCTGAAGAAGCTTCTTGGATGAGAAGCGAAACATCTTCCAAGAAAAAACCAGAAAGTCTAGTTGCCTCTTGGAAAAAAACACCTTTGGGACATCTGCTTTCAGTTTTGCACTGAAGCTGGTGAGATGCCACCAGAAGCTCGTAAAAGATGGGGGCATACAAACCATGCTCAATGCTTGAGAAATTTGCATGTCATCTCTTTCATAGCCAATAGCTGTTGGCAAGTTTATCTTCAGATCTGCATATTTCATTGGTTAATGTTTTATCTTGTAGCCGTGAGTTCCTAGGAAGATCAGCGTAGAGTGTATCAAGGAGCTATTTTCTCACTTCAGGCAGGGAGCTGCTGCAATCTATCCTAATAATATCAGAGTGTGATTTCCTTCTCTTTGTGCTGTGTGTAATTTAATGCACATCAATCACATTGCTCTATCTCTACTTCTGAAAATTCTCTTCCCTAAGCAACAAAAAGAAACCTATCTCAAAACAAATTACCTTTTGTCTCCTGGGGAGATTTAGGCCCAGTGCCCTTAGCTTGGGGACCCTCTGGGAATCAGTGTGGTCTATTTGAAGCGGTGCAGAAATATTTGACCAGTTTACCAGTTTCCTACCATCAGCCACGTTCAGCAAAGCATTGCACCGAGCAACATTTCACTCAACTTGTCTTAGGGGCCGTGTTGAACACCTTCAAATGCCACCCTCTCCCCTCCATCTTCTTGCTAGAAGATCTTCAGACAAAGTCGTGGGTAGAGCTGCATTTAATCCCCAGACTGTTCCTGAAGCACAAATATATCAGTCTTGGTATGTGCTTCTTTCACTTCTATTCTTGCTTGTGGCAATGTGAGGCTTCTGTGTTTTTCTGGCATCTTTATTCAACAGACTAAGCAAAGGCCATTCTTTGGGTTTTAGCTTTTAAAGCAACGTTGTGCCAAATTCCTGCTTTCCCACCACACATAGTTGATTTCTAGACCAGGGCTGCCAGCCTTAAAGAGGACACCCTCGTCCTACAGAACGTTGGATCCAACCCTGGCAAAGTTGCAGACTTCAGCCATAACAGAATAATTGCGTCGTATAGCTAGAGAGAAGTTGTGGCTGCTCCATCACTGGAGGTATTCAAGAAGAAACTGGACAGCCATTTGTCCAGAATGGTATAGGGTCTCCTGCTTAAGAAGGGGCTGGACTAGAAGACCTCCAAGGTCCTTTCCAACTCTACTGTTATACTGCTATGTTGGCTCTTAGGAGACACAACTGTGTCCCACAGACTTACAACATCAACATTACGGTGGGCAGCAGGATGAATTCGAATTAAAAGTCCTTGGCACTTAAGTTGTGTGACATTAAAGGAGCCCGGACACCTATAAAGGTGCGCAGAAGAGGAACACAAGTGGCCCACTCCCAGCAGAAGGACTTGGAGAAGGAGAAACATGACTTAATCCCGCCTGAAAATCCTTTGAAGTGACATGCAAAGACCGTCTTCTTTGGTACTGTACTCACCTGCTCTCAAAAGATCACCCAACACAATCAATTACTCGTTATCCCTGCTGCATCTCCAACGGACTTTGCCACCCTGGGTAGATTTCCTAACCCACCCAAGAAGGAAATTTAGCCACATGCGGGACGGGTGGGGGAGAAAGAGACAAGAAGGGGCTTTTCTAGACCAGGCTGGTGATGGCAGTGCAAAAATGTGTCTTTGCTTCTTTTTTAAAAATGTTTTGATTTTTAACTTAGATGCAACTCTAAGCCGCCTAGAGTTGCCCTACGGTAAGATGGGCAGCCAATTAATTTTATATACAAATAAATAATACATGGAGTATCCACTCCCCAGTGATGCTGGTTAGAGGCCCAGGGTTGGACATAAGTGCACCAATCGTGCCTACCGTCCCTGTCCTTTTGTTTCTTTTTATTTTTTCTTACACGTATCCATCTCATGTATTCAAAACTATGTTTATACTTATACCTGTTATCTTGTAAGCGATTGACAAATCAAATCAAATAAATAAAATAAAATTCTGGCTATTTTTTTCCATTCCAGGTCATTGCTGTGCTTGGGATCGACTTGTGAGCATCAGGAAGAGGAAGAAGACAAGGAAGCAAGAGGTTTGCCGGAGGAAACAACCTGCCGCTTACCAAAACACCCCATTAAGGGTTTCTGCTCTAGACCAGTCGCCAAGGGGAGGGAATCAGTGAGCGCACACACACACACACACACACACACACACACACTCTTCTTGCAGTTTCCTCTAGGCCTCGGCTCCCTTCGCAGCAGATGTCATCATTTTGCGAGAACGCTAGTCAAAATCACTTGGAAATAGGGAAATGAGAGCTGAGGTGCGCAGCTGCCAGGGAGCTTTGGTGCCCATTGGGCCTACCTGGCAAAATAGAACAGAAAGCAACAAGAAAGCGAAGAGACAGCTGGGAACGTTCAGCGAACGGAGGCCATGTGTGTGTGAGGGAGAGAGAGAAGAGAGAGAGTGTGTGTGTATGCATTTGTGTGTGTGCATGTTTGTGCAACTGGATTACTTAGCAACAAGGCTGCTGAAGGGCTAAGCAGCGATGTGTACATTCGGTTACCGGGTTCAGCTGCGATGTTTAGTTCTTGGGTGGTGGAACTGGTCAAGGTCCGTGGGTCAAGCTTTGAGGAAGTGCAGGAGGAAGGACTGGACCAATGGGTCACCCTCCCTCCTCCCTGTCAACCTTTTCCCTCTTTGAAGTGTCCCAGACTTTCCAACCACCCAAAAGGAATAAGCCACTTTGGGGATTTGGCTAGAAATGAAAAAAAACGGCAGTTCCTGGACTCGACCACCTGGCACCATCCAGTAAGTTGAGAAGACCCAAGAAGAAAGTTTGGGGGGGGGGAAAGAGAGATTGGTGTGGCATTCCTGAAAGTCAGAGAGAGGGGTCAGATGGCTGTGGGGTCATTGGTGCTCTCGGAACTTGGTTATTTTGTTGAAGACATTTCATTATGCAACTAGGTGACGTAATCAGTTCTAGAAAGGAGAAGGATTTGCAGGGAGGAGGAGGAGGAGGAGAATTGTGGGGGCCCTGGTACTCTCTGAAGTTGGTTGTTTTCTTGAAGACATTTCATTATCCAACTAGGTAACCTTGTTGGTTCTAGAAGGGGGGAGTTTGCAGGGGGGAGGAAGACGACTGTGGGGTCCTTGGTGATCATGGAGCTTGGTTCTTTTCTTGAAGACATTTCATTAGCCAACTAGGCAACATCATCAGGGCTAGAAGCGAGTGGGGTTTGCTCTTCGAGTCCTTTGAGCGAACATCAAGAACTCCACAGTTGAACCCTGACCTACAAACATTCCTTTGTATTGGCACACCTCTTATCGCCTGTGTCCTACAAGTGGTACAACCCCTCCCTCAGAGGGCCTGGATTTGATGGGGATGGATGAACGATGGGTACGGAAGTGCTCTTCACTTCTCCTTGTCCGCATTGGGTCAAGGAAGATCCCATCGTTCCTGAGGTTTCATCCTTCCCCGATTCTGTGACCTTGCGTCGCTTTTGCTAAGAGATGTTTCTCTTATTTCTCAAATCCCTAAGGATGGATTTGATTGGGTTGCCAGCTTTTGTCAATGGGTCAATTGACTCTCTAAAAAGTGGGAGGAGAAGTGTAGCAAACACACACCACTGGGAACGGGAACACAAGCTGTGCGTTCGGTGCACGGGGGCAGGATCTCAGGAGGGAGCAGCTGTGTAGAAGTAATAATAAACCTTGTGTTTTCCCCCCACCCCAATTTTCAAAACTTCTCTGAAGGATGAGAAAATCCATCTGTTTTTCTCCCCCTATTGTGTACAGGTAGTCCTCGACTTACAACAGCTTATTTAGTGACCATTCAAAGTTATAACGGCGCTGGAAAAAAAAAGAGACATCAGACCGTTTTTCACACCTGCTGTATCCCTGTGTTCACATGATCAAAATTCGGATGCTCGGCAACTGGCATGTACTTATGACAGTTGCAATGCTGCGGGATCCCTGTTTTACGTCCTTCTGACAAAGTCAATGGGGAAACCAGATTCCCTTAACAATGTTGCCACTAACCACGATTTAAACCACTTATTCTGGTGCAAGCTCCCACTGGGTTACTCTTCTTTCTAGGCTTTCCAGTCACTCTGGTCTTCTCTCTGTACTGGGCCCATAACCTGTCAGAGCATTTGCAGCATGATTATGAGACAACCCAGGAGCAAAGCAGAGGCTTAGATATTTAACAGTGGTTTATCTACAAGACATATACAGAAATATATGTGGTAGGCAAACACCTGACAAGCAATCAATCTTCTTAACTCTGCATGGAGAACTCTGCAATGAATACAGGACACAAGGAGAGAGAACATGCCCTCTAATGGCTGCCTTTATATAGACACCTCTTAAAGAGGTAAAACTCCTGTGGATCCATTCTTCTTAAAAGGGAAATACCAATGCTGATTCATCTTCACTGCATCAGCCTTACATAGCATCAGCTTTACAGCGCTGGTCAGCTCTTAAATATCTACATCTTAACACGACCGCATGACTAACTTCACAAAGGCAGTGTTTTGCTGAAAAACTGGCAAGGAAGGTAGTAAAACAGGGGAAAACTCCCTTAAGAATTGTCTCACTCAGCAATGGAAATGCTGGGCTCAATTAGTTGTAAGTCGAGGAGAATCTGTAATGTAACATTCTTCTGATGCATTTCTAATGAACTGGAACTCAGCTGAAAACAGAGCCAGTAAGAGGCACCTATTCAAATCTCGTCCTCCCCAAACAATGACCCCAAGCAAAGAACATGAAACCAAGAATGCAGTGATAGAGGCTTTTTTTTTCTTTTTTCTAAAATCCATGATTAAAACCTGGTACAAACAGGTGAATATATAGATATATTTCTTTTAGTAGATGTAATTTTTTTTCTTTTTCTTCTTTCTTTCTTTCTTTCTTTCTTTCTTTCTTTCTCTCTCTCTCTCTCATTATACAGCAAATATAGAATTTTTTTCTCTCTGTACAATAGGACGGTTTTACAGTGCAACATTGCGACAGATCCTTTCACCCCCAAAAATAAAATCTTAAAAATATTTGCACAAATGGGACTTCAGGCGAGTAATAGTCTAAACTGGAAGACTCCATTTGCAAAAGGCCCAAAAAGGATGAACTTTCTTTCTTTTGTTCTCTCTCTCTCTATCTCTTTTTAACAATGAAAAAAAAAAGATCTTTCCGGTAACTTTTCTAATTGATCTCTTTTGTTCGGTTGTTTTACATTTTGGTTACTGAAAGGATGAAGACAAAGCTGTACAGAGTCCACAAAATTCACAGAATAAGGAGTCATGCGATGCAGTTGTGGTTACGCCACACTCCTTTCATATTTTCTGTCTGGCTCTCTTGAAATTCTTGCACTTCTTTCTCTCTGAAAATTCAATTTTACTTGTGTGTGTGTGTGTGTATGTTTAAAGAAAAGAATTTGGTTTTTTTCCCCACCCCACAGTTTATTTTAATGTTTAAGCATCTTTCCTTTCACTACTCTCCTCTCCTCATCCTTTTTTCTCTCCTTTCTAAATCTCACCTCAGCGAGACCATAATTCCAAATATCTCTCTCTTTCTCTCTCTCCTCAACCTGTTCTAGAATAATGATAGATTCCTCAGAGTCCCCTTTTTCCTTTCTTTCTTTTAAAGATAAGTCTGAATTAAAAATAATAGCTGCTGCTGATTTTTGTTTTGTTTTGTTTTGTTTTTTTCCTTTTGGTCCGTGGTTAAGTCACGAGCCGGCAGAGAACTCAAGACTTGTGCTGGGCAGAAACCCCTTTCCAATAATCTAGGATGTCGTGCAGATCTTCGTCTTTGGCAAACTGGACCTTTTTACGCAGAGCGTGGCCGGCCGCCATATATTCCTCCTCCTCCTCTTTGTGCCGCTTGTGGTTCAATTTGAAACGCTCCCAGATGCTCCTGGAGGGTTTACAAGTATATTCGGGGCTGGAGGTGTAGCTCAAGTTATGGTACTGTGGAGAGAGCTGCGAGTAAGCCAAGTCTCTGGGGCGGGGCCTGGTCAACGGTTCCAAGATGGAGGGCTTCCGTCCCCCCATGCCGTCATGTTGTTCCCCCTGATGGGACCCTGGGTAAGAGTGCCGGTGCTCGCTGTACTGCCGGATCTTCTCGGCTTCGGCTCGTAAGACAGCTGCCGCCGGTGTCACAGTGAGGATGGTGTCAGTGGTTGGAGATGTCTTCTCGATATATTTGGCTTCTGACTTGTGGGCGGAGCCCTCAGAGCGGAAGGACCTGGGGCTCCGTATGGAGCCACTGGAAGAAGTGCTGGACCGTTTAGGAGGAGCCTCAATGCTGTGGTGCCTCTGGAGAGGGTGGCTGTAGCTTTCCTTGTAGACGGGCGCTAGAAAGCTATGCTTGCTAGGGATTTGTTCGGAGAGCAGCACCAGCTGAGGCTCGGCGGTCGACACCGCTCCCGACTTCACCCCTTGAAAGGAAGTAGATTCTGATTTCAAGGCATCGATGCAGTTGTTGATGATCTGGTTCACCTTGTCCACCTCTTTTGTGATGGTCGAGATCTCTGCCACGGAGCTCTGGCTATCCGGTGGCCTGGGCAGCTCCAACTCTCTCCTCTCCGGCTGTTCCCCCGTCCGCACTTCCATATAGTTACCCTTCGTAGCCTTGGGGGTCTCGCTGCTGTCAATCAGCTTATACTGCTCAACTTCTCCCATGGAAGGCAGGTAAGGAATGCGGGTCATGGTCTCACCATGGCCCAACATCTGACCTTGGGAGAGTTGGGAAATGCTGGTAGTCTCCATTTCTGGCCCGTACTTTAACTCAATGATGGTCTTCTTCATGTTCACTGCCGTTTTTTTGTGCTTTTCTTCCTGGTGACGCCTCTTCCGCAGGCAGTAGTACACAATTCCTAGGACAATCACCATGCCAAACAGGCACCCCAAGATCGTCATGATATAGTGGGTGGCAGTTGATGGCCTGGGGATTGGGTCTTCAGGTTTTTGTTTGTTCAGATTGATGGTGAGGCAGGTGTAGTTGTACCTTGAGACTCGATTGGAGGACATCACACAATAGGTGTAGTTTTCGTTTGGGCCTAGATCCGTTAGCTCGATATCTTCCTTCTTCTTCAGCAGCTTGGCCAGGACATTGTAGCGGCCGTTCTCAAATTGGGCCAGGGTGTACATCTTGCTGTAGGGCACAGGGATCTGCACACTCAACACAGCTGAGTTTTGGGTCACGTGCTTTACTTTCATGGTGGGATACAAACCGGGATCGATCACCGGGGTGTGCAAAGAGATCTGGGGTGTGGTGCCATCTCCGGAGAAGCACTCTTCCTCTGGACAGGGGCTCTCTGGAGGAGGGGTGGTCACTGGTTTTTTCTTGGGTGGGGTCAAGTAAGGTGGCATGGTGTAGGGGCCACCAGTGCAAAGAGAAGACAGCATGCCCAACGCATTGCGATATCCGCTCCGTCCTTGGCCCAGAAGGTAGTACCCCGAGTAGTCAGGTGGGGAGTCACACTGCATGCGGTCATAGGTACGTGTCATATTGGTGAAGCCCTCAAGCCACTGAAGGAAGCCCAGGAGCTCGCAAGAGCAATAGAAAGGGTTGCTGTAGAGTTCGCAGACAGACAGTTTACTCAGCCCCCTGAAGGTATTGCTGTCCAGCCGCTGGATCCTGTTCATGGACAAGTCAATGTTCATTATGTTGGGGCACTCCCCGAAGGCATTGGGGGTGACTGTCTCAATGAGGTTGGCCTGGAGGTAGAGGTACTCCAGCTTCCCTAAGCCCCGGAGGATCCCCTCCGTCAGGTTCCTCAAGCGGTTGTAGCCGAGCTGCAACACCTGCAGGTTGTACTGTCCTGAGAAGGCACCATCCTCGATATACGAGATCTCGTTCTTGGTCAAGTTGAGGTATGTGAGGTTACTGAAGCGGCTGAGGGAGGAGAACTGGACGCTCTTGATCTTGTTGTCGTTCAGCCTCAAGTCCAGAATGGTGCTGTTGATCTGCTGAGGAATGGACTCGTAGGGGGGTTGGTTCTGGCTACAGATGGCCAGCCACACAAAGCCCTTCTCTCCTTCGATCAGCCAGCAGTCGGCTTGGACCTCGCTCATGTAGAGGAGAGAGACAGCTGCCACATAGGTGCACAGTGCTGATGTCATGGCCCACTGATGGCCTGCCATTGAGAAGGGCCACACCAAAAGGGGGCTGTTACCCTTGATCGGCCAGGAGAGGGGAAGAGGCAGCTTGGTCACGGCACAACCCTGCCTTGACTAGAGTTTCTTCAGCAGCTTTGTCATCCTTCCTTCCTTCTTCATGGTGCTGAACCATGAAGAAGCATCTGGGGTGGGTTAGCGGAGAGGAACACAAGGATGTGTTGGTGACACCAGGGTCAAGGTTTCCCACAAGCCATCAGCAAAGGCTCTGCGGCTGGGGAGTTGAGAGTCTCACCATCATCTAAGAGGGGTTTGGAAGTCACTCAGAACACGAAGGGACCTGGAATGAAGAGGCCCCCGGTTCAGACATGAGCTTTACTCTCCTTCTCTGCATTGCTTCTTCTGCCTTTCTTTTTGTCACTGGTCTTCATTTGAGTGTTGGGTTCCTTCTCCATCCTTTCTCTCCAGGTCTCTCTGTTCTTCCAGAGATGTGGAATCACAAGGTTGACCTGCCAATGAACAAGCAGAGACACAACATCAGCATGCAATGGGCTCTGTGCCGGTAGGAAAGCAGAGCTGGGGTTTCTCAGTTGGGGACCTACCAATCTTTCCTTCTAGAAGACTATGGAGATTCTCAATCATCCAGGTAATGGTTGTCCCAAAGGTGCTTTTCCAGAAAACAACTGAACTTTCTTTGTTGTTGTTTTTGTTTTGAGGACATTTCACTTCTTATCCAAGATGCTTCTTCAGTTCTAAAGTGAAGAAGCTTCTTCTTAAGAACTGAACAAGCTTCTTGGATGAGAAGAGAAACATCTTCAAGGAAAAAAACCAAAGAAAGTCCAGTTGCCTGTTGAAAAAAAAACACCTTTGGGACTTTCCTTCTAGATGTTGACTTCAGTCTTCCCTCTCTAATTGCCACCAACTCCACCACCCCCAACCATCTCATCTTCTCTAAGTTTCTGTTTTCCTTCTCACCCGAGTTACTTTATTCATAAGACCAGGAGCCACTAGTTACAAAAAGAAAAGCCTGGATGAAACAGTGGTGATCCTTGACACAGGATTAATGTTTTATCTGCCAAAGAAATGGAAACCCTTTTTTTTTCCCCCGGTATCCATTCTGCTTGCAAAAACGATCGTTAACAAGAACCGGGACTACTCATTGTGTGTGAAATAATCAAAGGAGACATTTCTAAAATGGCCTAGCAAACATATATCAATGATGTAGCCACTACTAAATGGCTAAATGTCCATTTTGTATATGTCAGGTGCAGTAAAGATGCTTTAAGGCAGATCCCTCTTAATATTCTTCTTCTCCTCCCTCATCCTTCCCTACATTTCAAGCTCAGTTTCTAGACATTCGTCTGGAAAAACCTGGTTAGAATGACTGCAGAGCTGAATAATAGGCCCTCCGTTTTGACCTAAAATGATGCACTAAGCTGGATTTTACATTATGCACCAAACTGTTCTCCCATTCCTATTTTACGATGGTATAAGGAGACTCCAGGCAATTTCTCTGTCTCGCTGAGCCACGTTTCGTACAATTTTGAAGAAAGAAGGAAAAAAGGATGGTGGGGCAGGTGAACAAGACTGGCAGAGGGTGGAGGCAAGGGAAGATCTCTGTAGCTCAGGGTTGAAATGGGGGGGTCCTTGGTGCTCTCTGAGTTTGGCCATTTATTACCCAACTAGGGAACAGCAACAGTGCTACAAGGGAGTGTGGTTTGCACAGAGAGGAAGAGGAGGAGGAGGAGGAGGACTGTGGGGTCCTTGGAGGTCTCCGAGCTTGGTTGTTTTCTTGCTGACATTTCATTACCCAACTAGACACTGTCATCAATGCTAGAAGGCTTTGCTCTCTGTTTACACACACAGTTGTTTCTATAAATTTTTGTCCCGTATTGTTCTAGCAAGGCAACAAGAAAGAACAGATTTTTTTTAAAAAAAATCTGAATTCATCTGAAACCAGAAGGAAACCAGATTTACATATGTTGCTCATCCAAATCTACGCCCATAATAAAATTATGCCTTCTTCCGCAAAAATTTCTGACAACAAACCTCTCTAGAGGAACCAATATTGATCATTAATAATCTAACGCTAAAGGGGTAACATCTGTTTTGGACAAACTGTAATGAGATTTAAAACCCAGGGAGAAGAGCTCTGCAATAATAAATTACTTGTGTGTCTAAACAGTTTACACACACACAAACACAAACACACACGAGCAATTGCTGCTCTTTTTTTTTTTTTTAAGTGGGCCTTTTCCCCGGTTCTTCTTCTGTGCAATTCCTATATAATGATTGCTATTAATTTTCAGAGTGGCAGATGGAGCCTAACTCTAACCTTGTACTACTTGAAATGAAAATCCATTTTCAATGGGTTATTTTTTTCCCCCTTTCTGAATAAGGGTTTTTGAAATCTGTCTCATTTTGAAGGTAAAGGAAGGCTTACAATGTTAATCCTATCAGCGTTCTTTTGCAGAGGAAAACCAATGCCAGAATGATAGGGCTTTGTCGTAGGAAACAGGCATGGAGAATGGGATAGGATTACCCAGATTAAGTAATCCAACCTTAGCAACTTTAAGATGAATGGACTTCAACTCCCAGAATTCCCAGCCAGCAGGCTTTAAGATGAGTTTAAAACCCCACCCCGTTTTAAAGTATGCTCAAGTCCCAGAGTTTTCCATGCTGACTGGGGAATTCTGGGAGTTAAAGTCCACCCATCTTAAATTTCCCAAGGTTGAGAAACCCTGCTCTAATCAGATGCATTATTCAGATGAGGTGTGATTGACTCACCCCTTCCAAAGGAAGCTCCTCATTGGCTCTCTGGAGGAGTCTCTGCTCAGGGGTTTCCTCCTTCCATTCAGGAGAAGTCTGAATACTAAAACTCCCTGAGAAATCAGCAAGAATGTGACTCAGTCAAGGTAGGTCAGTCTGACTCCCAAACACCCTCAAGAAAATCTTAGCAGGCATCAGGCTGAATGATGCTTTCGATTTTGAAAGAGGGAGGAAGCATCTCAGCTGGGTTAGGGTGACCACCTGCTCAGGTCAACTCCTAAGTTTAGCCTGATGAAGAGAAGGCTCTGGAAAGAGACACAATAGCTCTGGAAGGATTGTCACAGGGAAGAGAGAATTGGCTTATTCTCCATAGCACTTGGCGGCAGAACAAAAAGCCATGGGTGGAAGCTCATCAGAAGAAGATCCAACTTGTAAATAAGAAGGAATTCCCTGACAGGAGATGATGGAGGAGGAGGAGGAGGAGGAGGAGGAGGAGGAGGAGGAGGAGGAGG